AATTATGAATGTGGCGAGCTATCATAGAATGGATGCAGGCTTAGCTTTCCATTGACTTCCGTCGACTTGGGGATTGATACGTATTTTTACAGGAAAGTTACACTATTATAAGCACACACTCAAAGTTACAACATGCGGAAACGCGTAATTTTTTGGGAAAAAAGTTTTGAAAATCAATTATTCTTGCATTCTTTGTCTGATCCTACAATAAAACTGACGCCATTTTTTTATTGTTATTGTCAGTAGGGATGTCGATTCTTTCCGAAAAAGATCCTTTTTTAAATCGATTCAAATCGTATCGTCGCTCATGTATCGATTCCCAAAAAATCGATTTCTAAAATATCTATATTTTTTATGTTTGCATTTATAATGTAAATATAAATCAATTTTATGAGTGTGGCGTGTGGTTTCTTGAACTGTCTTGTCATACCAGATGTAAAATACTAAGATTGGCGGCGTCAGGGTTAAAAATGTGAGAAATCAGGCATTGCTTCGCCAATCTGTCTGCCAAGCTTTGTTTAATACCAAATCCTACGTATTTATTATTTAAGCGTTTAAGGAGAGGATTCTTGATTGAGTTCTCAATTTAGTTGAGAAGCTATAAGTTTATAGTACTGAGAATCATCATCATCATCATTACAGCCCTTCACAAGTCCACTGCTGAACATAGGCCTCCCCCAAGGAATGTCACAAAGCACGGTCCTGAGCCACCTGCATCCATCGACTTCCTGTATGTCTCACCAATTCTTCATTCCATCTAGTGGGGGTCGCCCTGCAATTCGCCTACCGGTACGAGGCTGCCACTCGAGAACCTTTCTTCTCCATCGGTTGTCGGTTCTTCGAGCTTTGTGGCCGGCCCACTGCCACTTCAGCTTACTAATCCGTTGGGCTATATCGGTTGCTCTGGTTCTACTGCGGATATCCTCATTTCTAAATTTATCACGCAGAGACACCCCGAGCATAGCCCCCTCCATAGCTCGCTGAGCGACCTTGAGCTTCCTCATACGGCCAGCAGTGAAGGACCACGTCTCAGATCCGTAAGTCATCACTGGCAACACGCACTGGTTGTACAATTTCGTTTTCAGATTTTGAGGTATGTCTAACGAGAAGATGTGTGGTAGTTTCCCGGACGCTGCCCAGCCGAGTTGAATCCGTCGATTGACCTCTCGGTCGAAGTGGGACTTACCTAGTCGGACTATTTGTCCCAGGTAAACATACTCGATGCCGTGTAGTGGCGGTTAAGAATATCCACTACCCCATATCTTCCCGTGGGTGTCGTAAAAGGCGACAAAGGGAAACAGGCAGGAGATGGGCAGCAGCATCTTCCTGGTAACGACAAAATACAATAAAATACTGCGGTTGCCAACCCGCTCGCCAAGCGTGGCAACTATGGCAATATACCCCCCATAATGAAAGTTACGAAGAGACGGCCCCCAGTCCCCGGCGGCCCCGCTATTCCTGGCTACGGTGGCGACCATGGTAACGGCGGGGCAGGGGGTGCTAAGAATCTCCGGTGGAGGTTCGGTTGCCACCTACAACGACTCGACCTGGCAACATACAACGCACGCACCCTGAGGACTGACGAGAAGATTGTGGAGCTGGAAGAAGAGATAGACAAGTTACGCTGGCATATAATAGGATTATCCGAAGTCCGAAGAGAGGGGGAGGACACGGTAATCCTCGAATCCGGCAACTTGCTCTATCACCGGGAGGGCGACCATCTGTCCCAAGGAGGTGTCGGATTTATCGTCCACAAGTCTCTCGTTAACAACGTTGTAAAGATTGAGAGTGTGTCGACGAGGGTTGCGTGCCTTATACTCAGAATCACCAAACGGTATTCGCTGAAGGTCATACAGGTTTACGCACCAACCTCGGCACACCCCGATCAGGAGGTGGAGGAAATGTATGAGGATATCTCTAGAGCCATGCATTCCTCCAAAACCCAATATACGGTGTTAATGGGAGACTTCAATGCAAAACTAGGCACAAGAGAGAACGGTGAGCTGAAAGTGGGGAAATTTGGAATAGGGCAACGGAACCCAAGGGGCCAGCAGTTGGCCGACTTTATGGAGAAAGAGGGACTCTTTATGATGAACTCTTTCTTCCAGAAGCGGCCCCACAGGAAGTGGACCTGGTCGAGCCCCGACGGTTCGACAAAAAATGAGATTGACTTCATTATGACGACCAGACGACAACTGTTCAGTGATGTCTCAGTGATCGCGAGGGTGAAAACCGGCAGCGATCACCGAATGGTTAGAGGCACACTGAACCTAAACGTTAAGTTGGAGAGGTCTCGTCTAATGAAGTCAACGCTCCGTCCCCCTCGTGCTCTAATCCAAAGTCCCGAAACCTTTCAGCTCGAGTTGCAAAACCGTTTTCAGTGCCTAGAAGACTGCAATGAAGTGGACGATTTGAATGACAAGCTCGTGGAAACTGTCCATGCGGTCGGAGCTAAGTTCTGCAAGACCCGCCGCAGAAGAACACAAAAACTCTCCGATCACACTCTTAATCTCATGGCTGTTAGACGGGAGATGAAGCTGCATTCTTCAACAGATTTGACAGCATACAGGCAACTGAACAGACAGATCTCCAAATGCATGCGGCGGGACTTACGCAACTTCAATACAGCTCGTATTGAAGAAGCGATCGAGCGGAACCAAGGCTCCAAAGTCTTTGCCAGAGATCTGTCTGCCAGAAAGAGCCAACTGTCAAAGCTGAAGACCGAATGTGGCAGCATCGTTTCCGGGGCACCTGAGATTTTGAGTGAGATTGAGAGGTTCTATGGGCAGCTGTACACGTCATCGTTGGAGCCACACGTAAGTGTGAGTAACGATCCAAGAGCGAGTCTTATCCGACATTATTCCGATGATATCCCGGACGTCAGTCTGAGCGAGATTAGAATGGCTCTCCAGCACCTTAAAAACGGCAAGGCCCCAGGCCAGGATGGAATTACAGCGGAGCTTCTGAAAGCGGGTGGAAAACCGGTACTTGAAGTCCTTCAGAAGCTCTTTAATTCCGTCCTCCATGGTGGCATTACACCGGAGGCGTGGAGCAGAAGTGCGGTGGTCTTGTTCTTCAAGAAAGGCGACAATGCTCTCTTGAAGAACTACAGACCGATTTCCCTTCTGAGCCGCGTCTACGTGCTGTTTTCGAGAGTCATTACGAATCGTCTCGCGCGCAGACTTGACGACTTCCAGCCTCCCGAACAAGCCGGTTTCCGAAAAGGCTTTAGCACCATAGACCACATACATACCCTTCGGCAAATTGTACAGAAGTCCGAGGAGTACAATTTGCCACTATGTCTGGCGTATGTGGACTATGAGAAAGCCTTTGATTCCGTCGAAATTTGGGCGGTGCTGCAGTCCCTTCAGCGATGCCAAGTTGACTGTCGGTATATCGAAGTGTTGAAGTGCTTGTACAGTAGGGCTACGATGGCTATCCGAGTACAGAACCAGAGTACGAAACCTATCCAATTGCAGAGAGGTGTAAGACAGGGTGACGTCATATCCCCGAAACTCTTCACCGCTGCATTGGAAGACGTTTTCAAGCTTCTGGACTGGAAAGGATACGGTATCAACATCAATGGCGAGTACATCACTCACCTTCGATTTGCCGACGATATAGTCCTTATGGCAGAATCGCTGGAGGACCTAAGCACTATGCTCAATGACCTCAATAGTGTTTCCCAACGGATAGGTCTTAAGATGAACATGGACAAAACAAAGATCATGTTTAATGTCCATGTCACACCTATGCCGGTAGTTGTTGGGAACACTAAGCTCGAAGTTGTTGACGAGTATGTTTACCTGGGACAAATATTCCGACTAGGTAAGTCCAACTTCGACCGAGAGGTCAATCGACGGATTCAACTCGGTTGGGCAGCGTTCGGGAAATTACGGCACATCTTCTCGTCAGGTATACCTCAAAACTTGAAAACGAGACTGTACACCCAGTGCGTGTTGCCAGTGATGACATACGGAACTGAGACGTGGTCCTTCACTGCTGGCCGGATGAGGAAGCTCAAGGTCGCTCAGCGAGCTATGGAGAGGGCTATGCTCGGAGTTTCTCTGCGTGATAAACTCAGAAATGAGGATATCCGCAGTAGAACCAGAGTGACCGACATAGCCCAACGGATTAGTAAGCTGAAGTGGCAATGGGCCGGCCATATGGCTCGAAGAACCGACAACCGATGGGGAAGAAAGGTTCTCGAGTGGCAGCCTCGTACCGGCAGGCGAAGTGTAGGGCGTCCCCCCACTAGATGGAGTGACGACCTGGTAAGATTTGCAGGAAGTCGATGGATGCAGGTGGCTCAGGACCGTGCTTTGTGGCATTCTTTGGGGGAGGCCTATGTTCAGCAGTGGACTTGTGAAGGGCTGTAATGATGATAATGATGAAACATACTCGTTAACAACTTCGAGCTTAGTGCTCCCAAAAACTACCGGCATAGGTGTGACATGGACGTTAAACATGATTTTTGTTTTGTCCATGTTCATCTTAAGACCTATCCGTTGGGAGACACTATTGAGGTCATTGAGCATAGTGCTTATGTCCTCCAGCGATTCTGCCATAAGGACTATATTGTCGGCAAATCGAAGGTGAGTGATGTACTCACCATTGATGTTAATACCGTATCCTTTCCAGTCCAGTAGCTTGAAAACGTCTTCCAATGCAGCGGTGAAGAGTTTCGGGGATATAACGTCACCCTGTCTTACACCTCTCTGCAGTTGGATAGGTTTCGTACTCTGATTCTGTACTCGGATAGCCAGTGTAGCTCTACTGTACAAACACTTCAGCACTTCGATATACCGACAGTCAACTTGGCAACGCTGAAGGGTGTGTGTGTGTGTGAAGTGTCTTTATTATGGACCTAATAATTTCATTAATGGACCAAATATTTTAAGAAGGACCTAATATTTATCACATGAATTTCTTACATTTAATCTCGACTTTCTATATGCTTTTGATGTAAATTAATAAAATTAAAAATTTCGTTGTTGCAGATACCATCAAACAAGAGCTCGATCCTGCAATAACTTTCCAAAATCTTCCCGAAGACTGTTACAACTTAGATTTATATACTTTTTGTTAGTTTAGAGAATGTTTGGGGTAGTCACTAGAGGATGCCAACTGTGAGAGAGAATAAAAGACGGATATAGTTATTTATTTATTAAATAATAATTAATTGATAGTCTGTAATTCCTTATTATTTTTTAGTAATCCATTATATCCTGTCCTGAGGAAATTGAGGTTTGAGAGATGTATCTATCGAATTATTCTAAATAAGGGAGTCGCGATTGTAATGAAGTTGACGAGTTCTATTTATTCGTATTTAATCTTTAGTTGAGAGTAGGCTTTTAGTGGCAATTTTAAGACTACACGATCATAATGAATTACGAACGCAGTAGAAGAGACTGACGTCTTGTTTATAGTCATTTGATGGATAATTATGGACAATATGGCGTCGAATGTGTCAGTAAGAAGCACCAAACAAAGGAAGGACAATCTTATTACGAGGAAACAGGACAAGAGTCCAGAGAAGACTATCAGAGGGACTAGGGGTGCTTATAGGGGCATCCCTTCGACCTCAAAGAAGGATGAGGAGACGGATACAGGGTCTACGGAAAGGCTGGATCGACCAAAGAAGTTCATCTCGCAGAACAAGAGTGGCTATGGACTTGGAAAACGCCCCGATTTTTCGCTGAAGAACCGGAACGTGCATCTAGCTTCGTCACGGTATGGTCAGGTGAGAAATATTTTATTTACCTATGTATAGAATGTGACATTCTTTGTTTTGTGGAATATAATCATTGATGGGTCCGTTAGTGATCTTGTAACTTATGGACCACTTGGTATGAGAAACAGGTTCCACAAGGTTCGTCAGGACTGTATTTTGATACACAACTGCATTCGTTTTTACACCTTTATCACAAATATGTACCTCTGTTAAGCCCCAATAAGAAACTCCCAACCATACCATGAACGAGGATGGAAAATGACCTCGTTGGACACGCGGAATACGGTTGCTCGCTTCTTCACTACTGTGTGCGTACACCTTATCATTTTGTTTGTTGTAGCTCTCTTCTACGGTAAAAATTTTTTCATCCGAAAAAAGAATTTCCCGATATTTTTTTCCCGCGTACCGCTTCAACAAAGCGCGGCATCTCTTCAGTCTCAGATCCATTAGACGAGCATTCAAACGATGTCCTGTTTTTCTTCTATATGCCCGAAGCCCTAAGTCTTTAACACCCTTTTCACCGTGGTTCTGCTTAACCCCATCTGAAGGGCCAACAGTTTCTGCTTACGTTTGGAATTTCTTTGAATTCGTGCCTTCACAGCTTTTATCACTGCTGGAGTCCTAACAGACTGAGAGCGACCACTTCTTGACCTGTGATTTACACTAGAGTCTTCATTGTATCGTTTGATGGTACGATAAACGAATCTTTTGGTTATATTCAAATTTTTCGGTATGTCAAAAATGTGAATTGGCGCGTAACCGCAACGATGCAACGCAATAAATGCAACACGGTCTTCTTTAAGCGTCCACTCCATATTTAAAAAATGAGTAAATTTCTAAAAAGTATACAGTTTTATTTTCACGAACAATTCGAAATTCGATTTCAATAAACTTTTTTGTGGCCAGCATTCTAAAAGAAAGGTTTTTACTGTGTGACAATACTTATGACCTGACTAGGTATAATTGGAAATAATGATTAGCGCCCACTAATTCGCCTACAGCGTGATAATTATTGACAAATCTTTAAAGACCATAATTTAAAAAATAAGAATAAGACGAAAATAAAATAACAAATATTTACACTATCTAGCAGTGCGGTGGATAAAAAGACCAATAAGAGATACGTGGTAGAGCCATGTTGCAGCTATACTACTGGTATAGATGTGGCACAAATGGGTCGGCTAGACCGGGGAAGTACCACGCTCTCACAGAATACGCTGCTGTGTTTTTCATGGTGAGTGTAGAGAACCGGCGACACTTTTTACTGTAAACGAGGCATTCCATCTTAGTTCTCATGGGTGACAACGCACCTGCATTTTTATTCATAATCGAGGATAGATGTAGATGTCTATGGGCCACAGCAACCACTTACCATCAGGTGGACTGTGTAATCGTTTGTCATCCCCAATTGTCACGTGGGAAAAATCATGTGGGAAGCCATGGAATGTAAATGGCAGTTTAATTTAATTTTGTTTAGTTATAATTAATTTTTTTTCGGCGTAGAAATCCGGAAACTTTCGGTGTTTTAGCAGCCTTTTAATAATTTATTTTACTAAATAGACTGCCTCACTCAGCACTCACTCACTACGGCGTCAACCGTCGTCGTGAGTGGATTTTGAGCCGCTGCAAACAACTGATCAGTTGTTTGCAGCGGCTCAAAAAGATCGCTATACAAATACAACATATTCGAAAATCCAAATTTCATGCATTATTGTTTATCATAATAATCAGAGATATTTATTACAATATTTTTAAAGCTCAAAATAAATAATAATACTACGTACTAAAAGTAAGTAAGATGTATATGTACAAGTATATTTATACTTAAATACGTCTTGGACTTTATGGAGTGACCTGAATGATGATATGATGATCATATTATGAGCATTATTAGTCGTGCACTTTTGGATGAATGAATGAATGAAATGATTTTCCAAACTTTTTTTTTTAAATTGAAGTTTGACATAAAATTATTGGATAATTGGAAGTATAATAATTAGGTTATTACTGAAAACTTGTGTGTATTTAAACTACTTTATAAAAATTACGTATAACCATGTTATACGTAATTTTTTAATGCGCTTAGGGCATGCATAATTGGATTTACCAATAGTTTATTTTACTCTGGTATTCTATGAGGGCGTGGTTTTTCCCTGGAAGAACCGAGCGATTCGTGCTATTACCATAACATAGCTGCAACATATCTCTACCACGTGTTCTAAATAACGCTAAAGCGTGCTAAATAAGTAAGTTAATAAGTGTGACGGCTGCACTTTGCTTGTCCGTGAGAATTTATGATGTTTAATACAAAATGCAAGTCTTTGTAGACAAAATAAATAGCGCTTGATTGCTATATTTAGATAATCCTGTCAACACACGTGTTATATATGCGTAGTTAAAAGCAGGTTTCTCTGCAATATAATGTAGTGAGATTCCAGATATTAAAGAGCGGCTTTGCGGGAACCTATCTTCGGTATTGGGCCTATGATGAGCTGCAATGATAATGGTGATAATATTGATAAAAGTGATATTCATGAAAACAAAATTAACTTTAATAAATATATGCATATTTACCATCGTATATACATTCAAAATTATTAATAAACTGCGGTTTCCAACCTGCCTGCAAAGGGTCGCAATGAGACGGTCTATGGGGATGGCAGCAGTGGACTTTATAAGTTGTAATGGATGGGAAACACTTGGAACAAACGCAAGCTAGTCACCCCGCTACCCTGCTCCACAGAGTCATCAATTCATTAATTGGGCAATGTATACGCTTTTACAACTAAATTCCAGAAAATATACAAGTTCTAATACCAAGCTTAAATATTTTATTAAAAATAGACTGTTTATCTATACATATAAATAAAATAAGTGTCTACTTCGATTTTATTTACATTAAAATGAGGACGATATTTGCATACTATGAAGTATGAAGACGAGATCATACTTCATAGTATGCAAAAGATTTTCGTTATGGCTGAATCGATTGTGATGAAACTTTACGAACATATAGAGAGCAATGCTAGGTGGGATATGGCTATTTTACCCGAAAAGCTTGATTTTTAGGGTTCCGTACCTCAAAAGGAAAAAACGGAACCCTTATAGGATCACTTTGTTGTCCGTCTGTCTGTCAAGACCCTTTTTCTCAGAAACGCGTAGAGGTATCAAGCTGAAATTCATATCAAATACTCAAGTCTACTGTCCCTTAGAGCTGTGAAAAAAATCAAACTTCTAAGCCAACGCAATCAAAAGATACAGCCGTATATGCCGTAAATTTTCGACATTCGCAAGGGAATCAAAATCTACAGGGTACTTCTTCTCGTGAACTCAGAATCTTGAAATTTGGCACGAAGCAACGTTTTATAGCACAGATAAAGGAAAAATTGCGAAAAGCATAAATTTTTAGTTACATCATATAATAAAAATATTTTTAATAATTTTAAACTTATATATCTACAGGTTTGTTCGGTACACTCGGTGCGCGAGTCCGACTCGCACTTTGCCGGTTTTTTTGGAAAACGATAGGTTGTAAAAATGAAAATGGTTTTGATTATCTTAAATCCAATTAAACTCACTATTTGATTCTATCCACAAAGTCCCGCTGAGTTTACTTTATTCCTGATACTTCCTAGATGGTAGGATAGATATAGGTATTGGTTACTGTTATAAAAAATGGTAAGTACCTTTACAATTATATATAAAACTACCTAACTTTATTAAATAACTAACTAAATTACTAGTCTCCCCTGTTTTTTTACATTGTTACAATAGTGTAAATTTAAGCAAGCTTCTTTCGTGACAATACTTTTGAATTTTAGATCGTAAATCATCATTTGATAAGTTGGCACCATGGACGTATAAATAATTATTTATACGTCCATGGTTGGCATACGATGCTTTGCTTGAGGCGAAGACAGGCTCCGGACCATATGTATCGTATAGGCTTTTAAAGATTTTTATAGTACCTACACTGACGATACAAGTGGTAAAATTAAAAATTTTGTACAACCGTCTTCAATATAAATAAAATGAGAACATCATAAATGTAGTCGAAGTCAATTAAATACGCATTATTAAGGATAACTCACAAACTAGGTACTGGTCAAATTTTGATCAATTTTATATGGGACCTCATGAGAAGCACCAGCATTCAAATAAAAAAAGAATCATCAAAATCGGTTCACCTAGAAAAAAGTTATGAGGTAACATACATAAAAAATACAGTCGAATTGAGAACCTTCTCCTTTTCTTGAAGTCGGTTGAAAATATCTATATATTGAAAATGTAAATTAATGAATAGAATATAAACCAGACAAATATAATTTTTATACAGTGCGACTTTATGTTGAGCAATCGTTCCTAAAAGAATTGCGCGGTTGTTTATAAATACGTTGTGGTGAAAATTGCGGTTTGTCCACCTACGTGACGGCGTTCATTATCAAAGTGATTAAAATTATGTCTTAACAACTTAGATGTTTTCATAAAATGTTATTCGTCCTAAAATTAAGGTGAGAGATTTTAAGCTTATAGTAACATTTCAAATACTTGTCGTATTTGCAATGACTCAGAGAGCAAGATATTATTATCATACTGCATCAATTGAAACTTTGAAAACAGTTTGTTAATGGGATGTTTCAGGTCATATTGACCAATAGGTAGCTGAACGAATAAGTGCCTCTATGCTTTCAAATGAAGCACTATTATAATTTCGGCAGTACGGCGACGTCTGAATCAGAAGTCAAATGTGTTGAAACATCGAGACAATTATATGGATGTCGGCGTTCAGTAAAAAGCAATTGCAGAACAATCACAAAATTACATAAATAATTTTTTTTCTTCATTTTATGTAGTCTGCAGTATTTTGTTACGTTTGACGTCAATGGTATGTCTGCGTCAACAACGCATCACAATTTTGCCAAACGGTTTGTAAATAAACTTGCAATTGCTTTTATAGCCTTGAACTAGTTGATCGGAAAACCATGTACTGTTAAATAGTTTTGGAATGT